ACAGGAACCACTAGAACAAAAACCATAAGCTACAAGCCGCAAGAGACCATGTGATATGAGATAATATACTTTAAGGAGTAAACCGGTTCATTAGGCCGGTCGAACGAGTTCAGCAGACCGAACGGGCGGTCTTGATGGTACAGTACAACTAAAGCTCCTTTCTAGCCTAACCAACACTATACTCGATCCTACCAACTACTTAATTGGTCACAACCCGTAGAATTTACACACTCAAATCCCTCGAGCAACCCAACACTTAATCCCTAAGCACTAAAACAAAGTTTTTTAATAAAAGTATGAAAAACCAATGAAAACAAACTCAGTTCGTCGATGGTGTAAGAACACCGAGAAATTGAATATAAGAAGAAAACTTAAAATAAAAATTCTTGAACTCTCAATTGAATGCTCGAATAATGATGAACTCTCGATCTCTCAGCAGCCTTTAATTGATCTTCAAGATGGATATATATAGACTTCCTGGTCGTGAGTCTATATCAAGCAAATTCCTTCTTTTTGTAATTTCCTTCCAAAGCTTGTCGTTCAACATGGTAACATAATATTCTTCTTCTCTCTTCTATCTTTCTTGTCTCCAAATAATGCAAGTACTCTTGATGCACACGTCCCAAGTCCTACACGACATAATACAAAATAAGATCACAAAATATCTTTTAAAGATGCACAACAAAATTCTGACATATACAAATACAAATAATGAAGATCTTCCTTTTTAAATTCTTTTTGCTTACAAGACTATATCTTCAATATATTATTTTTGAACTTCATGCTAAAAATAAATCTTTCACGCGGGTTTTGGCATTTCATATTTTTTCCATCGACCTACTTATACACTATATATTTTTTTCTTTATTCTTAATATCCATGTCTGCGTTTAACTACTTTGGATCTCAAGCCCTCGGTCCCTCAAAGACTTGAAGATTAAACCATGGAATATGCACGAACTACTTATAGATTATTTTATTTTCAATCACACTTGTTCGTATCTCGTGCGATAAATAGTAAATAATATTAAAATTGTTAATATATATTAAATGTTGGATTATGTGTTTATACTACATAATTCAAAATAAAATTATCCGTCATCATGCATTTTAAGGACCATACATTAACTTAAACTAAGATTGCCGATACTATGAAAATTGGGAAGGAGTATTTTTGTCCCATGTAAATTTCTCAAACCTCATTAACATGAATATATAAAAACGCTAAAATATATGTTATTTCTTAAAAACATGTTCACAACATTTCAAATTTCTGTAAGATTTTGTTATAAAACACTAATAAATTTTATTTGCTATTTTAAATAAAAGAATCCTTAAATTATACATACTATTTTTTAAATACACCTGCAATTTTATGTATTGTGCATAAATTTTTTAAATCTAGCCCATTTAAATCGATGAGCTCGTAGCCCACATTAGAATTAGGCACAAATTATAAAATGAGAAGCCCAAGAACCCGCGTGACCGGTCATATGCCGATCTCCCAGCAGCCTGAGCGTCGATCCACTTATTAACATCTTTTGCCGATCTATTTGCAGGATGTGAACTAGAACCGGTGGAGCAAACCTATAAAGCAACCGCCCTATTGGTCGTATCATTAAAAGTTGAGTTTTTGCATGGGAACACACCCTTATGTGGCACCAACCATGAATATTATTCTACTTTATTCATGTATAAATTCGACCTTTGAGATTTAAGAAAAAGAGAGAACAATTTCATTAAAAATATGTTACAATAATTCCCTTTCTTAAAATAGGAATCATACACTTGTTCCCTCTCAATTATTAATGTGTCGATCTTTCTTCATTATTTGGCGATTTCTCCTCCCTTTACGAATTGATGAAAATATTTGAATTTTTTTAAAGTATTTATTATGTTGATTTTGTTGTATCATTTTTTCGTTAAAGAACTTTTATATATTAAAACCATTAAATATGATTATGATTTTATCATCAAAATTATATTGAAAATAAGAACTTTTTTTCAAAACAATAATTCTATATCATTTCAAAACTTTATTGTTTGGGCTAATATTGAGTGGATTTTTTTGGAGATATAGAAGGAAACAGTTTGAGAGATATGTAGAAGAAAGCAAATTCTTGAGGTATAATGGTGTGAAATAATGTGGTTGATTTTTAAGAGATATGGAATGTTTTGTTTATGTAATTGTATTTAATTAATTAAATATTAAATGAATATTAGTGTATTACTAATTTGACATTAAAAATATGTCAAATAAAGGATTGTTTAGGCAAATATTAGTTATTAATTTAAAATATAAGCTCAGATGGATATTAGTGTATTACTAATTTGCCATAAAAAATATATCAAAGTAAGGGTGTTTTAGGTAGTTTATATTTTTACAAAAACACTTCATTATAGAACTTTTGTATATTAAAACCATTAAATATGATTACGATTTTATCATTAAAATTATATTGAAAATAAGAACTTTTTTCAAAACAACAATTCTATAATTTCAAAGCTTTATTGTTTGGGTTAATATTGAGTGGAGTTTTTGGGAGATATGGAAGAAAACAGTTTGATAGATATGTGGAAGAAAGCAAATTCTTGAGGAATAATGGTGGGTTCTGGTTGATTTTTAAGAGATATGGAATGTTTTGTTTGTGTAATTTTATTTAATTAATTAAATATTAAATAGATATTAGTGTATTACTAATTTGACATTAAAAATATGTCAAATAAATGAGTGTTTAGATAAATATTAGTTACTAATAAAAAATATAAGATGAGATGGATATTAGCAGAAATTCTATGGTACCATATGGTGCCCATATGGATATTCCACAATGAATATTAGGCGTTAGATCGTGAAGATTATGGTACCATATGGTGCCCATGGTACCATATGGTGCCTATATGGATATTCCACAATGAATATTAGGCGTTAGATCGTGAAGATTATGGTACCATATGGTGCCCATATGGGCGCCATAGAATTTCTGTGGATATTAGTGTATTACTAATTTGTCATAAAAAATATATTAAAGTAAAGGTGTTTTAGGTAGTTTATATTTTTACAAAAACACTCGTCCATCTATAGTAGTAGTAGTAATAGTAATAAATATAATATAATAACATAATAAATATAATATAATATAATGTATATATTTAGAAATAATAAAAGCTTTGGCTTTGCCTGCAAAAACATAAATCTCGTTTTTTTAACTACGATTAGATCTTTAGTTATATTTATTTTAAATAAATTTTCATCTTTTGAATCCATATATTTTATTTTACAAGATACACATAAGAGATGATAATCGATACATTTCAAAATTGTCCAAGCATAGATAATATTAAAATTAATTGTGGACGGCGATTGAACTCTGAACGTCGCTCACGTTTTTAAAACAATAGAGCATACACAGAGCTGTGCATATAGAACCAATCAACAAAACAAAAACAATAATGTTTAAACTGCATAAATTGGCTGCAAAACCCTTCCAATATAATATAGTAGCACAAGGACATCAACTAACAGGCTTTTACCTAAATCTGCAGTTACATCAACTATTCATCTTCTCATAGTATCACACATACTGCCCCCAATGAAGAAAAAATCTCCTTCAAGATGATAGAAATCCCAAAAAACACAGCCACAAAAAGATAATCAACCAATGTTTCAAAAAGTCATTTTTTATTTTCCATGACCCATAAACAATATATACACCTTTTTCACCACGGAGCACCAGCTAACTCGGTGAATTCAACCTCGAGATCATCATCACCTCTATTAGCCTCAAAATAATCAATCTCCCTATCAAGCTTCTCAATCAGCCTCTGGCCATCTGAGATCCTCTTCATGAGACTGCTCAGCTCATCCTTTGCCTTCTTTAGCTCATTTCTCTTCATCTCATAACCCGCCGCCTGAGACTCAGGATAAACATTCAGCAGCTTCTCAATACGGGCCCGTAAAAAGCCCACCATCATGCCCATATCCCCTAAGGCCTTCAGGGTTTTATCCCAACTCTTCAGATTATCAAGGGCTGTGCCGAGCCTGGCTGATTGAATGTTCTTTGCGATTTTGACAGTCTCGTTTATCAGTCCTACCACCAATTTTATGTTGAGGTCCTTATAGAGATTTTGGTGGAGGAAGCATTTTTGGCTGAGGCAGAGTTTGTAGTATTTTTCCCTGACGTTGTCTGGAATTTCGGAGTCGAGGATTAGGCCGTTGTATTCGATTTCGAAATCTTCAAAGTCTTTTACGTCCTCGAAATTGAGTTTTATGTCGTCGAAATTTTTGGTTATGTTGGATGCCGATTTTCTAAAGCTTTTGTTTCGATTGTGATTTAACTCTACAGGTTCTTCCAGATGCTTTTTCCGTGCTTTTTTTGCGACCGGCGGTTGTTCGGGTCGCCGCTCTTCTTTCTTTTTCACTGCAATCATTTTTGGGCAAAAAAAAAAAAAAAATGATATAATCAGTAGTGTTACTTGTGCATGGAAGTAATGATGATAATTATAAACCAAAAGAAGAAAAGAGCAACCACTAACATGTTTCCATGTCCTATTTGTGTGTTACAATTAACACCTAAAACCATACATTTGGTGAACATAAGACCATCTCCAATCTTCTACTAGTGTAAAGTTTACTCTAGATAGAGAATGTCAAAATTTAACTTTCGTTTCCAGTCGTTCGCGCTACATTTTACTCTATATGAATATATTAGTACAAAATAAAATTTAAATACAACTATACAATCAAAATTTAAAATTATTTAACAAAATAAATAATTTTATTGATGTATGTTTTATCAAAATAATATTTGAAAATAAAAATCAATTAAAAAACTAAAATTGGAAGAAAAATAATTGCAGTCCGAGGAATAGTACCGCGCTACATGTAGCGCAATACTGTTCATATCTTCATAGTGCGAAAATGTAGCGCAACATTGGAGCAGTTTTTTCGCATAACTCTAGAGCAGAGTAGCATTGTGGCGCAGGACTGGAGAAGCTCTAATTTATGCACCAATGTCAATATGGTGTTTTGACTTTTGAGTGCTGAAAGACCAATAATTAGAGGAATAAAAACATGTGGTGGCTTTTGATTATATTGCTAACTAAATAAATTGTATCATGATTTGGAGCAAATCACAAAACCTGATTTGATTGGCTCCGCCTTCGCGTGAAGGTTAAGAATACTCCTAGCTGCATTTTCTTCATTAGATGTGTCGGCCCTTACTATGTGTACCTTGAGAAAATGAAATAGCAAATGAAAAATGGCTCACCATACGCAATGTTAAGATGTAATAAGTGGAAAGCTTAAGAACATGAATCGAGCATCAAAAGCAACGGACAACAAGAAAAATGAAATTGTTTTCAAAATGAAAGGTCACAAGAAACTTCAAAATCGGGACAGGGCAATTACACTAAGGTTGCGTTTGTTTTGAGAGATTTGAAATCCCTTAATTTCAAAATTTTTGAAATATAAATTTTTTTACTTTGAACTAGCTCGCACCGATGGTGTTGACTCGCGGTGGTGATGAACCTAAATGATCGCGGACGACGTGGTCGTCAACGGTGATAAACAGTGGATTTCAAATGACTAGGTTTGAGGAGTCATTTCAAATCTTTCAGACTAAAAAACATCTAGCATGAATTTGAAATCCTCCAACTTCCATTATCATGTCAACATGCATGAGCATTTGAACTTGTAAATTTGAAATTTATGGATTTCAAACCCCTCAGTAAATCCTTCAAAACAAACGAAGCCTAAAGAACCTAAATAGCAGTGGTGGAGCCAGAAACTCGTAATATAATTACATATAAACTCATTACATTTTAAATATTATTTACATACGTGCTCAAAATCCCACTCAATCAATTTTATTTAAAATTACCTCACTTTAACTCAAAATCCAATCAAAGCCGATTTTGATTTATATTTAATCGCCCATTAGAGTTCTAGAACAATGTGAATAACTGAATAGTGAAATTCATGAGAAAATAAGAGATCACCTTAGCAAAAATCACCATACCACAAAAATGGATTCCGTCTTTAGTCCCGAAAAAGAACAAAAAAAGACCAAGTCCCTCGCCTAATGCACACAGATTCTCTATAAGAACCCATTTTCACCAGAAGCTAACAGTTGGCTCTATAGTGGAACCAACTTTCTATATACAACAGGTAAGCATACCATGATTACTTAAATAAATACTAATAATTTTATTAATATGGTAAGGTTTACTTGAAGGTTAGCTCCACTATGGAGCCAATTGTTGGCTTCATAGCAAAACTGCCCACTTTCAATCTTTTGATTTTCCATATTTATTTATGAAAACGCATAATGATTTTTGCCTATACAAAGAACTTTTACAGCTTACTCGTTTACAACTCTTTTAACTACATTCTAAATGTTCCGAGTAGTGGGCCCCTCTAGGTGCTACTCGCTTACAACTCTTTTAACTACATTCTAAATGTTCTGAGTAGTGGGCCCCTCTAGGTGCTTGCTTACTCGCTTACACACATATTATGTTTTTGAAAACATTAACATTTAGGTACATAAAAATTACTATATTTTATATATTCTTATTAATAATGTGTGATGAGGAATATACATAAATTTCAATATTTTTATGACCATGCCTAGGTCAGCCCGCGCCTATGTAGGAGCTTAATTTTTTTTAACATTGTTTAATGTTTATAAATCATCACAAAGTTACTAACTCAAGAGTTTCAAATTTGGGGTTTAAATACAAAATAAACCACATCTTTCAAAATCATTTTATGCTTTGGAAAAAGATTCATATTTATGCTAATATAGCATTTCACCCAACAGCGTCAAGTAACGGTTTACGAAGTGATAATATTACTAGTAACAGGATAATGAGATATGAATTGCCTTTTCAACACTACACGATATTGCCACCAAGAAATAGGCCAAAAAAGGAGCATGTATGAGTAAAAACCACTCAAGGATGAACTGAATTACCTTAAACTTGCATGAATCGATCAGCTGAAAAACCAATGCATCCCCCTCAACCAACTTGTGTTCAATTGAAAAACTTCTCCATCTACCACTCAACCCACATTTCGCCGCCAAATATTTTGTACTATGTCCTTTACTTTCACCCACCGAAATTACTGTTGAATCATGCTCATTTTCAACCACCAAAATTACAGTTGCATCATGCTCTGGCAGATGATCAACACAGAATTCCTTTGGTAGACCCTACAACAACAAAGTTATTTATCATTTTTACTTAAGTTTTCTTTTTATTATTATTGGGATGGCCTTAATTTGGGATACTTACAACAAAGATAGTTTCATAAAATTTCTAAGTCCCTACCATTTTTATTTGTAACAGTTACATGGGGACAACAACAGATTTTTACAATTGTTTTAACACAAATTCTTGTATGAGGCAGCCTAACCGTTAGGCGGGTCAACCAGTCATAATACATTGTTTCATGAAATGTCATATTTTTGTTCATGTTGGCCTTTTTAGAGTATGACATTTCATCATGAAACTATGTGAATCTGTTGAGAAAATACTGTTAAGGCCAGCCTAACAGTATCCTTAGTGTGGTTCTAAATATGCTTCGCTGATAAAGGGGAGAAAAAAAAATCACATGGAACCAAATCAAAAGGAAGGCCAGTGCTTCTCAAAAATTCATTGGGTCTTTTCCCAAATTAGCCAAAATATTTGGGGCTCTTTGTTATTATCCTTTTTAATCCATAGGTTTTTTCCTTCATTTTTGTCTCTTTATTTCTAGTGCTCATATGATTTTAAAGTCTTACCAACCAGAATCCGCCTGAGACATGGGATTTGCTCATATGCTTTACAAAACTGGGGAACTTTGACGGCAGCTTAGCTTGAATTTGATGTGCTCTTTCCAAGGCAGAGATCAAGAAATTACCACCATTGCCATCATCACCTCCTTTTGCATTCTCCTTGGGTGGTTCATAACTTAAAAATAAAGGAAGTAATAAATATAAAAGTTGAGAAGGCGCAAAACCAAAATCTATTTACTGCGCTAACACTTCTCTTTCTGAAAAGAGTCTTCAAGCATCAGACTTACCATATGACACGCTTATCGATTTTCACCATTTCTTCCTGCATATGCATTGGCCAATAAGATTCTCATGAGCTTTTCATAAATGAAGCAGCAAAAGCAACAGACAAAAATGAAAAATGAAACAAAGATCATCCTAGTTTTTATAAACAACTATAACAGAACACAATGATTCTCTGAAATTGCCAATAGCCCCCATGGGTTTGGATCTGATAGGAATTATGCTTAATGTAGGAACTAGATATTTGCTACAATACATACATGTAAGGCCTTTTTAGCAATGCACAACACTATTTTCAGCACTACATATACTATAGCATCACGACATCTATAATAGCACAAACTGCCATTAAACCCCATCTGAACATGTAATTAGCAAGTTCTCTATTCTTTTGTAATCAGAACTTAACCTTGGGGATAGCGTTTATATTCAAGCTTAAATAGACCAACCATACACATTCCCGAACTAAAAGACAGTTAAACCTTCAAATCACTTAACAGTGTAATTGTAATTCATTTGTTAAACTCAACCTCTGTCCCGGAATACACGTTCAATTCAAGATAAACATACTCGTAATGCACTATCTTCTAAACTTCGTACTTGCACTAACAAATGATCACATGAGGTCAACCAATACAGAGGAATTTCATGTCAGGAAACAATATTTGTTAAAAATGACTTACAGGTGACTTTTTGTTGGTGCTTCCGGCGAGATTGAAATTGGATAAGTCTCCACACTGAACACAAACCAAGATCATAACCACATTAAATTTCCAATTTACAAATATAGAGTATATGTGTTTACCCTTTATCCACATTTAGGTTCAAATCATTATACTCAAAGAATGACTATACAAACGAGGATCCAAAATAACCATGGGAAGGCAATACAGACTACGCTGTATGAACTTCCTAAATATTACTATCCATAGTAAAAGGGCCTAACTTACATTGTGTTCCTTAGGTTTGAGACCCTCTAGCCGGGCCTCCACCAGCTTTCTCGTTTTCTCCCATTTCTTCTGCTGAAGCTGTTAACAAACGCATTTAAAACAACAAACACATTGCAATTGCGTCGAAGCCCGTTTTCTGTAAGAGCAATAATATACTTCCAAACTCAAAAATTCAATATATGAGAGGGAGAGCGAGAGAGAGAGAGAACCTCGGACTTTGTCGTCGAAGGCAAAGGGGTTCGTTTAGAACTATTCACAGGAGATAATGTCATCGAGTGTTTTGTTAAAATTTTTCTTCCTCTCTAATTTTTTTACAGTAGATTTTATGTTAGAAACTCTGCGCAAGTTATCGTTGGGACTAAAAAATCATACAAAAAAATAAAATGATATTGAACAATATATGGAAAGTGTTTTTGAATTCAAAATGGGATTTGACAAGGTTGTCAGACGTGTTCTCTGGTTTCATGAAGGCGAAAGGGCACCGAGCGGGTGCAATGTTTTCGAAAATAATTTATCTACTTAAAAAATGGAAAAGTAAAAAGAGTTATTTACAATAAAATATATATATATATAGATGTGCTCCGGTGAGAATGGTTCTCAACGAAAGAAATGAGAATACATCATAGCGAGAATGGTTGTCCATGAAAGAAATGAGAATCCATGGTAGCCATAAGATCTAGCAATCCAATGTCCAAAATTAAATAATGACTTTACACTAACAAAGGGTAGATTAGAAATTTCATCTTCCTCTACACCATCTGATCCCCCAGTGTATTTCTATCCCTACGTGACCCAATCCCTAATCTCTCTCCTAATCACCCCTTCGATCCCCACTGTGAAAACTTCCCGTAGCGCCCCGATGATGTCGTTGTCCTGTAATCTAATATTCCGTTTATCGCCGAAGTCACGTCCTCCGTGACCCGCCGTCACCTGCAGTATGGATCGTTGGTTTCAGTCTAGTTGCAGATGGTTTTTTTACCTAAATTCTGAAATTGATGGTATGTAAAAACATCTTCCTATACCAATTCATTACTACGTTCTAAATGATTTTTGCTACATCTTGTTAAGTTTTACAAAAAGATTTTATTTAATTGCTACCTTTTGTGAAAGGGGAAAGAAATGGGTAGTGAGGTTGGTTTGAATATTGTTGGTGTTTCTCGTCGGTGGATTTGGATGAGACCGACCCGAAACTTATCCCGAGACGATAAGGGATGGGATTCTTATCTTCTTAAGGGCAACTTTAGTAGTAAAACTCATAAACCTACTTTTTTTTATTCTCAACGCGCCACCTAAGCCAAAACCTGATATTCACTCTTACAAATATAATCATAAACCTCTAAAACAAATTTCATTGGTCCCACATGTAAAAAATTTTTGCAGACAAGAATGACATGGGTCCACATCTATTTCACGCTTTTTTATCGCGTGTCACACACGAGTATGGCCAGTGCATTTGAAATGAGAGAGTTGAGATCACACTGCATTTTTCTTTCTCTTTATCTTTAATTATTTCTTTTATCTCATAGCTTTTGAGGAGGTTTGAGATTGCAACACGGGTTTACTATTTCAAACCTCAAACATGTGCATTTTAATGGTAAACCTCTCAGGTTTAGATTTTCAAACCTTGCAAAACCTCCCTATTAAAGATGCTCTTAGAGAGTTGAGTGTTTTACATGTTTTTCATGTGAAGCAAGATGTTGAAATACATGCAGATGTTAGCATCCCAGAAAGTTAATTCACAACTAAAGAGGGTAAAAGCTTTCAGGCCAAAGACAACTATTCATATTTCAAAGAATGTCAATACCATTGAAGGGACGGATGTGTCTAATGCCCTCAAAGCAGCAGTATATCAGTACAAGATGTGACTAGTGTGCCGGCATGCGGCATCGCTCGTCAATGCTTCAGCATCAGGGATCGAGAATGGGAGGGTCGGAGGCTTCAATTTGGAAATTTGATACGTCCTCAACACATAGTTACAATTTTAAAAATTACAATCCATTGAAATTTAGTTCATGTCAAATTTATAATTTAATAAAAATTTGATAATTGCACAATAAAGTTATGTGAAATGAATAATATCACCTGTGGATATGCATATTAAAAGTTCATAGTTTTACCACTATGTCAATGCGCTACAAATAGCACAATAGTGTTAAACGAAGTGTGCATTAATGTATGTGAAACTGCACATAACCTTATATTTTTACATGTTTCTTAATTAGTTTACATAATTAGTTAAAACCTCAATGTACATTGTATGTCACAATACTACATATTACAATTAAAATGTTGCACAATTGTTAAATTAATGTTGCACGGTAACTGAATGAATAATGGTACTTAATTTGTACAAACACACCCTCATTTGGATTCAACCCAAAAATAACCGATGTTACATGGAGCTACTATTTAGAAGTGCACAACTGTGTCTCCAAACATGCATAATAGTGTTTTATATGTTGCACGTTATATTGAAAAATCATCAAAATAATTAAATGTTAACTCCAAAATGTCATGATTTTTGCTTTAAAATGACACTCTCAAATCCAAAGACAGATCGTGAGATTTTTCTACGAAGTTTCATGTACACCTCCTCAGACCATGTGTGACTTTTTTTTGTTTTAGGAACCACAAATATCGATCGAAACTCGAACCCTTGTACATGTATGCAATTTTAGAAAGCACAACGATAGCTCGAATGGCTACTAACGTAGTTGTCCTTTGCTTGCATCCAATGCTTCCTTTTTTTCTCCACAAAACCGGCCAGTTAGAGTTTATAATGGCGGACTACGGAACCAATAGAAAAGGAAGTTTTTATAACTTAAAATTTGAAAAATACATGGATCGGACTATATACCAATAGTACAACATCTATGTAAAGGAACGAGATCTCAATTAAATACGAACACATTAAAAATAATAGTGATAACAAAAGAAACATATTCATGTAATTACATGATGTTCATAATATAGAAATTTATGCCTAAATTCAATAAATCGATAAAGACATAAAAATGTTCATAGTCCAAAATGTACTTCATATTGAAATTGAAATGAGAACACTGAGAGACTATGCGGCGAAAATAAAAGAATGTGCTTGCGACAAAAAAAAAAATCGATAATCCACTAAACATCAACTATAAACTTATAATCACTCGATTATCTTCCATACATGCTAAATTCAATTGGAGAGCAAGCCCATAAAAATAAATGCAGTATCTTGAAATATTAAAAATATTGGCATGCAGCACTCAACAATAGATAAATTCCTGCAAAAGCTAAAGATACAAACTGAAACTAAAGTTGCACATTAAATCATTATATAAAGAACATTATAATTTTTATAACAAACATATCAAACTAAAAAAACAATAGTTCACTTCTAATAACTTTTATTGCAAAACTATAAATGAAAAACAATAAACTCAAAAGCCTAAGCTTCAATACTCAAGACCTGCTAAAAAAAATGAAATAAACCACAAAATTAAAAAACTAAACCCTTTATTCAATTGAAAAGCTATAACTAAACTCTGCAGGGGAATCATAACACTAACTATAATAATAATAAACCAAACCTCGGCCAAGTAATAGGATTTAGCTGTTCTATTACATCATCTTTCGGACCAATATACTTAAATGTGGGTTGTAGATCATGAAGTAAATAAGTAGAGTTCTTTTTGGAGCGAAATGTATTCACGTGTTGCACTCCGTTTGACCAGGTGGACAACCGCTTCTTCATGACTGGAGCTGCCTGAAGACATTAGTAAGTTAAAGAGAAATTTACACACTATACTATCAAATATATTTTATATTACACATTTACACCTAATTGATATTAATTTGCAAAGATACAAAATCACCCTAAAATAATTGCACATATACTAGAATTCAAACTTAAGTCAGCTTATCCTTTAATTAGGGAAAGAGACGGATTTAATGGGATTTAATACCTTAACTTTCTTCTATTCCCTTTTATTTTCAGAATCTTGTACCCAAACCCCTCATTCTCTCCTCCGCCTCCTCATTAATCCCCAACCTTCAGCTCATACTAATTCTTAACCTTAGACCATTTTTCCCCAATTTTCAGTCTCGAAAGCCAACCACGCTCACCATTCGCAATTCCGCCCGCACCGTTAACCCGGACTTGTCGGTATCCGCGCCCGAACCCGATGGTTCTGGACCATCCGCCCCGACCCGGGGCGACATCTTTCTTCAGCACCAGCAGGAAGAAGAAAGAAGAAGAAGATTTGAGAAAGCTGCGAAGGAACGAGAATCTTTGGAGAAGGAAGAAGATTTGAGATGAGAGGCGTGTTTGGGATGAGAAAGAAAAAGATTGAATTAATCGGGTATATGTTATGTATATATATGGTATATGTTCTGTATAATATAAGGGCTACCTTATTTGTATGTATGGTTTATATTGACAAAGCATAAACTGATGATTTTTTCTTTTGTATATGTATGGTTTATACTCGGTATATTTTCAGTATTTTTTCTCATGACATTAATAGGAAAACGTTCGATAGTATGTAAAAGTTAAAAATTTTTGGTATATTATCAATATCTTTTCGGTATATTTTCTCATGGCATTAACAGGAAGACGTTCGACGGTATATTATCAGTATATTCTCGGTATATTTTCTCATGACATTAACAGGAAGACGTTCGACGGGTATATATGTACAGTATATTTGCAGTATATTTGTTTGTATATGGAATATAAGTAACTGCTATAATATGTTTATATATACTTTTATGTCTAAAAGTAAAAAAAATAAAAAATAAATAAAGAAGACATAATTTTTTGATGGATGACATGTTCTTCATTGTAACATATACTGAATATATACCAACATAAACGCAAAATATACCACCTGACGGCTGCGTGAATTACAAATGTACAAACTGCGTGAATTAGCGTGAATTAAGGAATTAAATGAGTCAGTTATTATTTTTCATTTCTCTCTCTTAATCAAGCCCACAAAAAGGGGGATGGAAGTTGAATGGATATGGTAACTTACTTTAGGCATTAATGTAGTTATGTATTACATATTAGGTAGAGATATAATTATTTGTTTATGAATTGTGTTTTTGCAATATTTTTAAAATCTTGTAGGACAAATGAAAATGTCCCTAAGTTAAATGCACCTTCTGCATAAGTTTCACCATATACTGAAATCAGTTTTGCAAACAGGACACTGGTTGCAAGCACATACAATATGCATTAGGATATACAAAGACAATATTTAGCTAGTCAATCAATTAAGGGCCTTTTCCTACAAAGTACCTAAACCCTTTTTCATATTCCATTTCAGTCCCCACACAAAAAAAATTCCTTTTCACTCCCTATTACACTAAATATCTTACAATAAACTCCCTATGTTTAAAAAAAATGATAAATAAAAGGGACACATCACACCACCATCTACCAACTTATTTTATCCAATTATTATATTAGTTCTAATCTTCTTCCACAATCCACTCCCTCATTCCTTTTCACTCCCTA